GTGTGCGGCATCCCGGGAAGCGTGTCTGCCCGTCCCGCACCGTTGGTAGGACGGGGGAATGACAGCTTGGGCCAGGAGGAGCCGGAGGAGGCGCCGAGTTTGCCGTGGCCGTGCAGTGTAACCCCGGGCAACCCCGGCTCCCGGGCGTGGAGGCTGGTCTGCACTTAGAAGCTCCCTGCTCGGGCTGAGGTTATACACGAACATTTGTTCTTGCTGCGCAGGGAAGTGATGAAAGCATGTCAGCGTAAGGGCAGTATTTATCAGCAGTGGAGTTTTTAACTGGCAGTGGGCTGGAGATCCTCTAATGCTTCTGTGGGTGGAAACTGTTCTCTATTTAACACCAATTTCCATAGGGAAAGTTTGAATGGTGTTACGCTTTGCACCCCAACAGACCTTGAAACAAACTCTAGTAAAGATTCTGAATGTCTTTTATACTGCACATTAAATGGCTTAAAGAAAAAAAAATGTATGGCAGTACATCATCAGTAATATGTGCTCTTGGCTTTGGTGTGAAAGTGGCGTGTGGCTGCATTTCACTGTCGGAGAACGAGGTGATTCTTATTTTCCCCACTTCCACTTACTTTTCTGAAGAAATGTCAAGGATAAAATGTGATTTCAAGCAATATACTGTGACACAAATATGTCTTGATAAAACATTTTGAAACTACTTATACAGATATGAATGTGGAGTTGCCTGGGAGTTTTAAGAGTTATGTATCCCTGACTTGAATTGATTTTTATGCATTTTGTGTTTGAAAGCCTTAAGGACACGTGTCATTGAATCTGGTAGTCTTTGAAAGTCAGAAGGGCGTTGCTTGGGTTACATGTTTGCTTCAGTATGAAATAATGTAGTCAGCCAGGCAGAGTGAGTGAGAACTGGTGGAAGCACACACAAAAACAACCTGTATGTGGTGTGTTGGAGATACAAAACCTGTTCTAGCAGATCAGGTTCAGGGAGACTTTACCAAGTACTTAATTATTCATTGTGATTCTCTTGCTCAAGGTCCTCTAGGTTTAGGTCTGTGAAGGCAAAAAAAGAAGTTACTAATGTTTTGGTGTATTGGCTCCATGTTCTGATTATTGCTACAGTTATTCCAAGTTTCTCAGTGGAAACTGAGAAATTACTTTAAACAGAGGAACAGTACCTAATAAAAGGAACTTCACTTCCAGCAGTAAGCTGTTAAGTCATTCTGCGTACTTCCCTCTGTGTTTGTCATTTTCCTAGACTGTAGTGTTTTTGTGGTGGTTTTTTTTTTTTTTAAAAAAAGAGGGAATTTGGCAAGTTTTAATGCAGAATACTGTCATATGACAAGTGCATGCATTTCTAATATTAGACAATAATTACGTAATAATACACTGATAAAGATAAATGTAAACCCCCTATGCTGTTAATGCTTGCAAAGCAGTAACAGGGAAGAATCTGAAGACTGTTTTAACCTCGTTTGTGAGCTCTGACTGGCAGAATCATTACACTGTTTTGAATACTCTGATTTTTCTATTGCAGCCAACAAATGCCAACTCCAAGTCTTTATCACTTCCAAATTATATATGTATTTGATTCATAAAAAGTAATTGGCTTCTGTTTGGGATGACTTCTTGTCCTGTTTCAGGCATATATATTGTGACTTTCTTCCATGTGTAACTTTTCTTATTTATTTCAGAAATGAGGGTTCATTAACATCAACTTTAAGAACACTTCTATTCTTCACAGCTCTAATGATCACATTACCTGTTGGGCTGTATTTTTCATCAAAGGCTTATGTATTTGAAGGTAATTCTGTTTCCACCAATTAGCATTACTGTTATATAAAAGAGGAAAAACACAATCCTCTAAGAGCATCTCTGTTCTCCTTCCTGTTTTGAATATTTATTTCCTTATGCAGACTAAATGTCAAATTAGGAATTAAAATTCTGTGAATGGTCGATGCATCCTTCCCTGCATTGGGGTCTGCAACCTAGTATTTGCTGTTTGCTGTGGGGTGGTTTATACAGTATACAGGCGCATCGTTCCCTTTAGGTAAAGGGTAGCTAACACCAGTCTGCAGCAAGCTTTTATCAGAGTCGTCAGGAATCTGTTTCCTGCAGGTGTGACAAACTGATTGTGTATTCAAGGCAGAACAGTGTTTACTGGGTTTACTTTTTTGCTTTTTAAAACATACATGCATTTATAAGCGTAAACCAGTTAAGTCATATACCCAGTTTCAGATACTGAATGTGGTTGCTTGTAGGTTTTTTTTTTTTAAATAAAGAAAAAAAAAAACAAGGAAGAGAGATTTTAGCTGTTTGTTTGGAGCTGTTCTGTCAAACTGCTAAGAACTAGCCACGTTCTAGCCCTGATTCTGCAAGGCTTTAATAACATCCTAACACTGCAGGAGAAAAGGATCTCCTTAAAAAGCGAGGAGGAGGGAGGGAGAGAGAAAACAGCTGCTTTTAAGAGGATTTTGTGCATATATAACTGAGTTGTTCCAAGATGATTCTCCTTTGGTGTGTACTGCTGCATGTAGTGCTGAAGTTCAGAGCTTGTTAAAAAACTTGAAGATCCTTTTTGTGTGTTTTTTGTGGCTTTTTGTTTGTTTATTTGGGTTTTTTTTGTTGGGTGTTTTTTTTTTTTTACCTGAGATGTAGCAAGCTGAGCCTTAACTTTGCTGTGTCAGTTAATGGCAATATCTGTCAGCACTGATAGGATGGGGTTTGTGTTTGGAGGGTGGTATTTTTGGTGTGGTGGGGTGAGTGCGTTTTTTATTTGGTTGTTTTTTTGGGGTTTGAGTTTTTTAATTCAAGGAAGAGAAATGGTATTTTGGTATCTGGTCTTCTGATATTTGAAGGCTTGTTTCATGTGAGATGCATTCAAGTATCTTAACTGGTGAGGAATTATTGTTTTACGGTCTAAATATAGAAGGTAAAAATCCTCTAAGTGTAATTGTTGTTCTACTGTTTTATCCTGTTATAGTGGCAAATAAATTTATGTAATTATTCCTGTCCCCCATCCTTCTTTTTTTCCATTTTTCTCCCCCCACAAAGAGAATTATACTTAAAAAAGGATGTTGAGGTTTATTTGATGCTGGAAGATAGCAAACAGAAAAAGTGAATGTTGACTTCAATCCCGTGTATTTTATCTTAAATATTGGATAATTGCAGTGTTGCTTTATTCCAGAAATAGTTTCAAAGTCTGTAATTATAATGGTGAATTCTTCCCTGTGAATCTTTCAGAGCTCAGTCTTTTGATACAGGAATAAATGTAACTTTGGTCTTTAGGGAGAAATGTGATTTGCCGTTTCAGTGTTCCTAATATCTAATACTCTTTCTTTATTTTCTCAGGTACCTTAGGAATGTCCGACAGAGACAGCTATTTTTATGCTGCCATAGTTGCTGTAGTTACTGTTCATGTGGTACTTGCTCTCTTTGTGTACGTAGCCTGGAATGAAGGCTCTCGACAGTGGCGGGAAGGCAAACAGGACTAGAATGAAGATCATCATCTGATGCCTACGGACTGTAAATCAAACTTTTGTGAGCTGAAGGAAAAGCATTCTTCAAAATGTATAATACACATGTACAAAGATGAGGCTAATACCTCAACTCTGGTTAGAATAAGACTTGTGCTTGTCTTGAATGTGTACCAGTGTTTTCTCTACTGCTGATGGAAGGAAGTTGTAATTTCCCAGTCTCTGCTAGGTCGAGTTGAGGAGGTCTTCACCTGGAATTAAAATGAAATAATTATATATTTTTGAAAAAAATCCTGTAGCTATTTTTGCCATTCCTAGTATTTTTCTGGCTATCTCTAAAAATTATACTGGCATGAAGCAAGCATTACATTTTGAGTAATTAAATTGCTAGTTAAAAAAGCTATGTTACACACTATCCACCTACACTGGAAAAGATGGGATTTCACTTTGCTGTGGATAGTTTCCCAGTTTATGGGTGTTGTGGTTCAGCCCCAGCCAGCAGCTGAGCCCCACACAGCTGCTTGCCCACTCCCCCTGACCCTGCTGGGATGGGGGGGAGAATCGAAAGTGTAAAAGGGGTAAAACTCATAGGTTGACATAAACGTGGTTTAACAGGGAAAGCAGAAGCCGCGCACACACGCAAAGCAAGGAATTCGTTCACTACCTTCCATTGGCAGGCAGGTGTTCAGCCATTCCCAGGAGAGCAGGGTTCTGTCACGCTTGTTTTGGGAAGAGAAACGCAATCACCCTGAATGTCCACAGCTTTATATGCTGAGCATGGTGTCACATGGTCTGGAATATCCCTTTGGATATTGGGGGTCAGCTGTGTCCCCTCCTTGTGCACCCCTGGCCTACTTGTGGATGGGGTGGGGTGAGAGCAGAAATGGCCTTGACTCTGTATATGAACTGCTCAGCAGTAGCAAAAATGTCTGTTTCCAGCACAAACCCAAAACATAGCACCATGGTAGCTATTATGAAGAAAATTAACTCTATCTCAGCCAAAACCAGCACAACGGAACAGACAGACATAATATATTTTGGAGTTTAGAAGTAATTGCAAAACCAGGATTGGTTAGAAACTTGGGTGTTGTTTTTCTAACGTGAAATAGGAAGTTCTGTTTTCATTTTCAAATTTAAATGTTTATGAGAGTGTAAAATTCAATCTTTTCATTTCCTTTTGGGAGGATTGTTGTGTTACGGCATTGCGCCTTTTTCCACTCTTCTACAGTTAATCTTGATGATGCAAAGGAAATGGCAGAGCATGTTTTTAATACGTCTTTACGCTTAGCTATGTCCTTGATAATTGCTAAGGGACGTAGTTGGATTTCCTGTGGTAAGGTAGTAACAGCTATGAGCCACTCTGGATAGTAGAGGAGCAAACAAGAGAAAGCAGGTTGTAGCCATGTGCAAATGTTGTCCTTTATGAAGCAGGACACGGGGGTTGATCGCATGGAAAATCTGCTTCTCTTCATAAATATTGACATGTACACTGTGAAATGATAAAATATGTTGATTATTTTCTTCTTCCCTTGGTTGTGTGTAGAAACTTCCTGTAGCCAAACCATCTGTGGGGTTGGGATAACCTGAATTTCATTTCACTGCTGTGCTGCTGTTGGCAAACTTTTTCAATCTGTAGATAAAACCTTTTTCCTAAGGTTCCAGCAATGCACAGAACTTTCCCTAACGCTGATGTTAAGCTGTTGTGCTCGAGGTAGTTCTGTTAATTTGAGTTTTCCAGTTTGTTGTATTAGTTGAGCCTTTTTTATTGGAAGCATTTTGCTTAATGTAGGGCTTGGAATCGTTTTGGTGCTGCCTTTGTCCATGGTGAAACTTATCTAGAAATGGGACAAAAATCGGTTACCCATGCGCAGCGGTTTATGGAATGTGTTCCCAGGTCTTGTTCCTCTCCATCCCAGTCCCAGGTGTGCACAAGCATCATGTCACACTAATGCAAGTCAGTTTGTACGTTTGTTCTGGAACGTTAACGTTTCTTATCCAGAAGCCCATTGTCGGGTTGCTGCCAGCAAACTGTAGAACCGTCTCATACACTTGGAATGACAAATCTAGTTTGTACGTTGGCATATCGGCTTCCTCTTCTCCAGTATATGAACTGTATGTTGTAGAACAAATACTGCCTTTTAATAAAGAATACTCCATGAACCGAGATCCAGTAAACAAGCACTTGTGCTGAACAGTTTTTGAATAATCTCCTTAATGCTGCTCTCGTGTAGTACAGCTGACAACAAATAGATCAGCTATAGCACTCTTCAGGAGCTTTTCTACTCCATTTATAGTGGAGAATAAGTGGGAACACAGCTTGTGCTTTACTAGCTGGGTCTTCTACATCTGTTTTATGTTTCATGTACCAGAATCCCTAGATACTAAGTTAATTTCCCGGGAAGGACAGGAAAATAGTTGTAATATGTAATTGTTTAGCTACAAAAATCTGAAAGATTTGACCTGTAAGTGTAGGCACTATAATGTCTCAGCAATTGGGGCTTTAATTGAGCATTAATCCTTCCATTGGAAGATGTTCTTTGAGGATAACGCTTTGATCCACAATGTTCTCCTTGAGAAGAGGCACCACGTGAGTCTCTGCGCAGTAACAGGCGTGTCCTGGGGTTTGTGTTGCCTGTGCTTGGGAGTGGGTACATGTAAATGGTGCAGAGGAATTAGTGTGAGTGGGGAGCTCAAAGAACAGAAGCGGCAGCCATACAATGTGGAGTGCACACCGAGTAGATACGCTGCTGGGACTCCTGGTGTGCCCTACCAATACTAAGATTTGTTAACATCGCAAGGGCTTGATTGTGGTCTCTTTAGGTTGAGTGTTTCCTTTCGTGTATCTCATGTTCCCGTTAATGTCAAAAGCTAATTCTCATTTCAATTTTTTAGTTGCTTAATGGTCATTGTCGTTCTTTTAGTGTTTAAATATCTGTATTGGGTTTGTGTGGCAAGGTGGGGGGGCTGCAGGGGTGGCTTCTGTGAGAAGATGCCTGAAGCTTCCTCCTGTCCAACAGAGCCAATGCCAGCCAGCTACAAGACAGACCAGCAACTGGCCAAGGCTGAACCCATCAGCGATGGGCAGTTCGTGAAGAACTGCAGCCCTTGGGAAGGAATTACATTGGAGGTGTTGGTGGAGGACTGTCTCCTGTGGGAGGGACCTTAGGCTGGAGCAGGGGCAGAGTGTGAAGATCCTCCTCTGAGGAGGAAGGAATGGCAGAGACAACTTGTGATGGACTGATCACAACCCCCATTCCCCATCCCAATGTGCCATTCAAGGGGAGGAGGTGGAGAAATCAGGAGCAAAGCTGAGCCTGGGAAGAAGGGAGGGGTAGGGGATCTGGCTTTCTTGCTCATTATCCCATTCTGATTTGATGAGTAACCAGTTAAATTCCCCAAGTCAAGTCTGTTTTGCCTGTGAGGGTACTTGGTGAGTGATCTCTCCCTGCCCTTACCTGGACCCATGAGCCGTTCTCTCCCCTGCCCAGCTGAGGAGGGGAGTGATAAAGCAGCTTTGGTGGGCACCTGCCTTCCAGCTGGGGTCAACCCCCGTACAAATACAGAAACTGCTAAGTTGTGGAGAGAAGAGCATTGCTTTGGTTTTTATTTTCTGTAAGATGGTGATACAAAATTTTTAATGGTGTAGAGCTTTAAAGTGGTACTGTAGGTTCGTTTATTACTAGGAATGGATTTGAGACAACTCTTGTTAAAAAGATAAAATTGGGAAAAGGATGTAGCTTTGCCACACTGATAATGCAGCCCAGCAAACTCGAGGGCAGGTGTTTCTACCCAATTCCTAGGATGGGAGAGTGGAAGTGCTGGCTGAAAAATCATGTTCTGAGTGCATTGGTGAACAGTAAAATGTTTGTTATTGGGTTTTTGATGTTTTTAGACTGCTGCACAGTTATTGTAGCTAAATAAACCGTGCTTAGGCTTCTGGTAGCCCACGCAATTGGCCAGGGTGTGCTCCAAGCCTCCAGGCAGGGGTATTGCTGGGAGTAGTTCCAATGAGTAAGAGATGAGAAGGAGAGGACCCTTAAAATAGCTTACTAAGCCGCACGTGGTATATTTAGATATAATAAGATAATATAGTATTGGTGTGACTGAAATTGAGGTAGGCTGCAGCCCGTGGGACAACGGGAGGGAGGGGTCCTGTGAAGCAAGGAATGATCTGGCATTGTAGTGTTTGAATTTCTGGTGGGATACAGCTTGAGTCTCTGTTAGGAGGACGTAATCACTGTGGGGTATAATGATGCTGAGGTATAGTTTAAGACAGATGGAGGTAAACTGTTGGCACTTGAGTGCTGTTTGAACCTAAAATAGTAAGAAAAAGTATGAGGGAAACAAGCGGGAATTTCTGTAGAAAGCAGGTGCTGGTCTGCCAGTTTGCATTCTGAAACCAAGAGATGGAGCCAATGGTCCCGTTGCGGAAGGCAGGGATACTGACCGGGAAGCTTAGTGGTGAGCGATGACCAAGGAGAAGAGCTTGGAAAGTCAG